TTTTTTTATTATATTTGGTTACCTTTATTTAACTCAATTTTGTTTTCGAATACGTTATATAATTTTATTGCATTTTGGTTGGTCAGAGATGCGAAAAATGCCAAATTGCATAAAAAAATAATCATATATACTTTACAATTAGCATTATAATATGACTAGGCGTCTTGCATTGATCGAAAATAAAACACGATATATTTGGTTATTGTTTCAAATAAAGTAGGAATCCCGATTCCTAAACCAAACACGTAATAATGACATTATTCAAAAAAAAAAAAAAGGTTAAATCTCAACCCTACTTACAGAGGCAATTCACTAAAAGTAAAAGAGCAAAATTAGTATTATACATAACTATATTTATAAGCTCCATTATGCTTTATTTACCAAGATTCAGACTTCCTCGACCAAGGCCAATAAACAATCCACTTGTATCCATTTGACGAAAATCCACTTGGATTCAAACAATGGCATTTTTTAGTTGTGGAGTTATCGAGATCGTTGTTAGTGGATCCCAACACAGGGATATCAATCGAATAACCTTGGTATATATCAGCCAATATCAACTGAGATTTCGAATATCATTGTGATTTAATCGTTAAAATTATAATCAAGGCCAGAAAGTAAATGGTGACCACTTACAACATCAGGGACTGGATACAATCTCAGAGTGTGATCATAGTCTCTATAGATAGGCTTCATAGGCAACGGAAATGGGCACAAATGTGATTGTTGTAGTAAAGTTTTTGTAACCTACAATTTATTGAAGTACGTAAATTTTTTAATTTAAAGGAATCAGTCGAAAAAAGAATTAAACCATCTACCTGAATTTCTACACTCTCCTGTGCATTCAATGGTGTTCGGATGTTATTCCGTTTAATCTTATAAACGATATCTTCGCGGAAAATCACAATTTCTTGACTACAGTATTTTATTCTTGATAAAGTACAAAAATCAATTGAATTAACTTTTATAATATTTTTCTTTATTTTCAACAATTACCTGCAAGGATTACTGGTGAAAACAGCTTTTGGTACTTTACTCTTTAATCGAGAAGTGTACATATTTGGTATGTGTCGTTGTGGAGATCTTCCATTCAAGCAAAAATCAGAACAACCAGGTACGAATACAAAATGAGAATATCTTGCTATGCTAGGAAACTCAGCAATAAGGTTTCCCAGGCTGTCAAAAGCCACTTGAAAGTAAGTTATTATTTATCAGCAGTAATGATCAAATGATTAATGTTTGAAATAAATTATAAAATTAATTAAACCTCGATATTTAGCGGAATGAACATCTGCATTTACGAATGGTTCAGATAAAAAATTTCCAATTAACACGAAAACAAACGGAATCAAATTTTCATCTTGATAAACTTTAAGCATCGTTCGTAATTTGGCAAACGTCTAAATATCTAAGTTAACAACTAAAAATTTGTGAAATAAAAATCTCTAAAAATCTAACAAACCTTTGATTGATCTAACCACAAATCGGACATTATAACTAAGAATGTATTTTTCCATTCTTTCTCATATCTCTTAATAACTTCCTGTGTTTATAACAATGATATATCAAATACATACTAAAAGGAGATCTGCAGGCAACAAAAATAAAGGGGAACCTCGTCTTCCAATGAATATGGTATTCCCAAAAAATCCAAGTGGCCTAATTCTTTTCTATTGTATAAAATAGAAATAATGATTAATAGGCGCCTTCTGAGCGGACATCTTAATTATATTATAATATACCTTGTATCATCTGGATCTTCCAACGGTGGATGCTCTATACTTGTAACTTTGAATTTTTGAACCTCGACATATCGTCCTTTAGCAAGGATAAAATTACCTTCGGTGTAAAACTCGCGTATTTCCTTTCGACAGAATATTTAACAAATGAATCGGAGTGCTTATATAAAAATAATATTCTAACAAAAATATCCTTACACATTCAGATAGATCTAGCCAAATTTGCCAGTCCTTATCCTCGAGTTGATATTTTCCTTCCGAGAAAGTAAGTAAACCAAATATTGTGAACTCCTCGCCTTCTCGTCCGCGTAGATCTTTTAAAGAAGGAAGCTGGATTTGACATTATAAATTTTATAATAAAACGATTACACAACATAATTCTAAAGTAAATCTAATTTTCACCTTATTTTCGAATTTACTAGAACTCGTTAAGCGCTTGAAATGTCCTGACCTTCGTTTTAATCGTTGATTTATCAGATCAAATCTTTCTGAATAAATTGGTGCTTTGGAACTAAAAATACTAATAACTTTTGGTTTATCATGTCTTTATATAAAAATGTTCATATTAATATTTCATACGACATAATGATTAAATGGCATCAAATAAACTTAATTACCTTATAAATCCCTTTTTTTCGTTTGAAAACTTCCAACGGGGCATGTCGAAAGCATCAATTACATGAAAGAACTTGTCTCTATCAACTTTTTCGGGCGTCAATGTTTCGATATCTTTAAGATTCTTCTCTTTGGAAAGTTGTAAGGCCTCAAAAACTTCTTGTAGTTTTTCGAGTTCAACAAAGTCAATTTGCCCTTTAAATTATTTGTCCAATAGTTCAATGATTTGTTAAAGAGCGATAAAAAAATTATTTATTTATTTGTTTCTGTGTGAAATACCATTCTGCTTAACATATGCGTTTGCTATTTCTTCAATTATATTAGATACATTGTTCCTTTGTAAATTATTTCTTCGAATGATATCACCAAGCTTCTCTTCCAAATATTGTGTTGATTCTGGGCGAATTATCAACCCATAAATGGTATTAAACTGATGTAAAATCATTTGGGTAAGCGACATCGTCGTGAACTCGATGCTAAGCTATCAACAAACGCGTGAATTATTTAAAAAGGATTTTTCATGCGACAGTCAACCAATCAGAAACATATTGTCAGCATATGATATAAATAAGTCGCGTTTTAGATAGCAAGATAGAAATTCGTTTTGATTGGATACTTGTTTTATATTTGAGTGCTGCAGATAGGGTTTAGGTAGGGTTGTTAATGGAGTGGAGTGGAGTGGGTTGGGTTAAAATTAAATGGAGCAAACCTTACTCCAACCCAACCC